GATTTGCCCAGGTTCACAAAATTGTTTAATGGAAGAAGCAGCTACCCAGGACAAAAGCCAAGTTTCTCATCTCTCAAGACAACAGTATTTCTCACTATATCAAAAGCTACGTTTTTATTTGTAATTTTCTTATAACTCATAGAAATCAGCCATTAGCTTCAAATCCTAGAAATGGGATTTTTTGTCTAGTTCTGATGATTCTGTTAATTAATTTTCTGACTCTGAGCAAATAACTGTGAAATAAAAATAAATCCTACACTTCTAGGTCTTAGGAATATTTCAAGAACAAAAAAAGAAAGCTTATAAAAGAAACTCACATGAAAATAATTTTGGAAAAATATGAAATTATACAGAATTAAAATATACTTTCACATATTTTTTAGAGGCAAATAGTACTGGTTGTTAAATTATGTAATACTGCTCCAAACAGTCTAAGCTGAAAGTCCTTGCAAATCATCTCTCTAGGACTACCTGAAGGACAACTCATTGCCATTGTCTAACTCCTTTCCAATGTTAAATTAATAACATTATTATTACCTTACCATTATTATTACCTTTTATGTCTACCAAATAGAAGATCTCTGAGAACAGCACTGTTAATTTTCTGTAAGGTATGAAACAGTGAATACAGTGATCCTTGAAGTTCCTTTTACTTTAAAGAATGTTGATTTTACAGTATGACATAACTCCTCCCCAAACAAAAATCTTATTTTTTTTTAGCTTCATAGGCATAGAAAATCAGTATTTCTATGCCAAATAAAGTGCGAAGTATAATCAATAGTAATGTACAAGTGCTGATTTATCAGTTGTGACAAATATATCACAGTAATGTGATACTGACAACAGGGGGACTGCATGAGGGGTATATCAGAACTCTCTACTTTCTTTGCAACTTCTCTATAAACCTAAAACTATTCTAAAATAAAAACTATTCAAAAAAATAAAAAGTAAATCTCTATGTCCATTTTTAACAGTTCAGGAAATTTCTACCAAACAAATAAAGTTAAACTACTCTGTTATTCGGATATAATGTTAAAATGTTCATGCTGCTTTCGCACTTACAAAATAATACGTTCTACCTGATTTATATTCAGATTATCACATTTCTGTCTACCTTAAAACCACAAATTTCTAAGGTGAAGTCCTTGAACCAATGCTGGATTTCCAGTGTGTTATTTTGTTTTGTGGTTTAAGAAAATACTGGATCTGAGGGGGAGAAAAAGGGCCAGACAAGGGAAAAATTCAAAAGGCTTTGTGCCACTAGCTCCCAATCTAATAGTATAATGGGTAGCTTCACAACACTCTAAAATCTTAATACACTCTTACTTTTATTCTAGAGCAAATAATCACACATACTTTTCAACATTTTATTAATATGTAAATAATGTCCAAAGGAGTTTCATTAGACACAGAAACAATTTTTGCATTTATTTTTATAATCTCCTGTAGTAATAACAAAAATGTAGTATTTCTATCAAGATATTTCTTCATTCTCCTTATAAATAATTATACCACACTATATTAAGGAAATACTTGACTTGGGGAGTATAAAATCTTAAAATTTATCACAAGTTTGACATTTTGCCTTTTCTTTATTGAAATGTTGAAGAAGGGATTTTTTGAGAAACTTTTTGAAACTAGATTTTATTTTAGTTGGCTGGGAAAAATACATACTGTGGAACAAGAAAGGGAGCCCTATTTGATGGAAGTCTATGATGACTCAGTCGGGTGAATTACAATTTTGTTAACTGGTGTAAATCCTTGGTGGAAAAAGCATGTGGTTGACTTTGTTGTTTCTGAGAACCTTAAATTAAGAAAAACTGTACCTATAGGAATTTAAAATTCTTAATACACTTAACAATTTTCATAATCAGGAGAATAGACTGTCTAGATGTGAAAAGATATCACTAAAGCCTTTTAGCTTAACTGTATTAGAAAGAGCTTTGTGAAAATAATTTTTTACCACAGTATTTATCAAGTTTCAAAAGCCAATAATTAGAGAAAGCTACATGGATGCTTATGTTCCAGAATCTATAGTCTCCTTTTCTGATAGAAGGAAAAACAAATCGTCAATACTTTTTTACCTACCTTAGCTATACCCTTTGAAAGACACCAATTTTTTTCAATCATAATGAAGACTTTATAAAAATTATCAACATTAACAGGGGACACAGAAACCTGTGTGCTTCTAATAGTAAATATGCCAGTGCAATCTGAACAAGCCTCAAAAGTATTAAATGGCTAAAAAAAAATACATCTATAAGGAATATATCTACCTAAAAATAAACCATTCTAGTATGAAGACATGAATTTGCCTTTGGGACCCATAAAAATGGTTTAAAGCTACTTTATTTTTACTAATAAACAGATCCTTGAGAAACAAAGACTGACTTGGAAAAACAAGACTTTTTTTTGGTTTTGTTTTTCTTTTCAGTTTTCATCTCCTCCTCACTGCTAAGTTGGTGATAGTGGTACCCACCCGGCATTTAGAAACACTTATAGACAGGGAAGGGTCAAGAATCTGAGGGAATGCTACTTCTAGAGATCCATAGTCAAGTCACCATAAACACAGAGATGCCCACGAGAAGCTGAGGCAAGCCTCCATCAGGGACTTAACTAGAACATACCTCCTCTGGAAGGGAGGGAAAGAAGGAGATGAAGAGAGCAGTACCATCCTGGCCAAATACCTCTAGCTACATGATTTCTATCCTACTCAATGAAGCACCGTCAATTATGTATTGTAATTGAACATAACTTTGTAGATTAACAAATTTATTGCTGTAAAATGTTCTCCTCTATTTATGTTTAAAAAAAAAACCCATGAATCTTTAAAAGTATTTGTTACAGATTTTTGCCCAGTTAAGGCAAAGAGAAGGAAGTGGAAAGGAGAAGGGTAAAATGGAGCATAATTAGGTGGAAGAGAAAGGAGCCACAGGTGAACAGAAGTTGTGATCGAAACATAAACCTGTACTGAAAATCAGGAATCTTGGTTTCTAATCCCAGCTCTGACATCAGCTAACTATGTTCTTTAGACAGTGAGCTTCCTCATCAAAAAATAAAGTGGGGGTAGGAGTTGCCTCTACAAGAATGCATCCTACAATAAGGTATCCCCTAAGGGAGCCCTCACCTGGAGCCTGGGGGTCAGGGTTGGGTTGGGTATGATTTCTGATTTTTCTGCCTGGGAATGGAAGATTTGTTCAAAATTACACTACCTACATAAAAGGAAAGAGGGAGAGTCCGTGACAGTTGCTAATTCAATGTAGCCATACTGGGGGTCTCTTCATACCAGCACTAGGTATTGTAGATTCAGAGATGAACGTCATAGTTTGTCTTTATGGTGTTCAGAATCCAATTAAGGTTTTGACTAGGAGAAAAACTGTGCCTCTAACTCTGCCCTTTCCCAAGAATGATATATAAAGGAAGCAATGACACCTAGAATCTTGACATTCAAATATCAATTAAGAAAAATGAGGCTTTTCTCAATTAAGAAATTTAACTTCAGGGCACCTGTGTCCTGACTTCAATGATCTGATATACATGATTAATGTGACTATATGAATGTCAACTAGCTATATTAATTTAAGTCAGGGACCATTGTCCAAATCATCTCTATTCCCAGTAGGTGGCTCAGAGCCATTATTCTGGGTATACTGGTTGAATAAGTGATCTCCAAAGCCCATTCCAGTTCTAAAATTGCCTGATACCTGACATTAAAACATGGCCAATAAATACTCAAGGCCACACAAGGTCACCAATATTAAAATTAACTCACCTCGAGAACTTTTAAAATTTTGCCACTCAGGTTTTAAGTATATTTTTGCAACTACAGGCACAAATACTGATCTTACTACTATATATTTCATTCTATGAGTATCACAAAATTAGGATTTCCCCTTTAATTGGTAAATTTATACCAGCAGGAAAATTAAAAAGGGATAAAGTAGAAAAAGGATTAAGAAATATTCATTACGATCAGAAAATAGTGCCTACAAATATGCACACTAATTGTAATCCTTTAAAACTTGAACTGCCTAATTTATTTACTTCATTTCGGGTTTTTGTCAAGCTCCCTGAAAAGGAAACAAAAACACAGGCGAGATAACTTTGAAAGGCAGGTTTTACAACTGGGGAACACTTTATTTGCTGGGAGATTAAAAAAAAAAGCACATCAAAATCTGACTCAAGGGAAATTGCTTTTTCATTACTGTGCATAATTTATCCTTATCAATACCCCATTCTGAAGTCTGCACTGTTCAGCACCATAATTTAATTTCGAGAATAGCAGGTCAAATCACAAATACGATACCATAAAGAATTAAAAAGTTACTGAAAAAAGTGTAGGCCTACCTAGCAGAAGTAGAGAAGACGGATTTTCTAGATAAAGTGCCATAGCAATTTCGTTTTAAAGGCTGGTATCAAATTCTAAACACCAAACTTACTGCATTTTAATAAAGGCCACAGAAACAAACGGTTAAACACCAGGAAACACAACCACTTCTAATGTCAGAATTCCCACTTATATGGGTTTACACTCCAAGCACACATACAGCTCTGCGAAATGACTTCCTTTTCTCTTTCACAAACACACCCGTACACAAACACCGTCTTGTCCCCTCCACGCCCAGTATTGTGCTAGTAATCTTTGTAGTACAATCAAAGTAACTTGGGGACGTAGACAGATGTCTTCTTTTCCCGAAGAGGCAAACTGTAGATGAGACACTAACACGCGGGCAGGACCTGAATACACAGAAAGCAGGTATACATAGCAGGTATAGCCTCCAGCCGACAGGGGAACAGAAAGATTCGCTCCCCACGGAGCTCACACTTTCTCCTCTAGACAACACAATGCAGACCCAGTTCCTCTTCCCCCGGTGACAAATCAAAGCCAAGTCCTGACGTAAGCGAGAGCAGCCGCGCAGAGGGCCCCCCGAAGCCGCTCTCCGCCAGCTCCCAGCCTCGGCCTCGAACCCGCCCCGAGCCCAGCGCAGCCTGCGCAGTACCTGGCGAAGAAATCGGCGAGGCCGCCGCTCCGTCGAGCCCTGGCCGAGGTCCCCGCGGGGCCCTGCTCCGCGGCGGGCAAAGGCACCGGCGGCCCCGCCGGGGGCAGGTGGTCGCGGGCGCTCTGGCAGCGGCTCACCTCGAACGTGTTCCGAGAGTTCAAGTGAACGTCGGAGAAGCTGAGCAGAGGCTCCGCGCCCGCGGACCCGCATGTCCTCCCGACCGAGGCGGCGGGGGACGCGCCCTCCTCGGGACCCTCTGCGCCGGCTCCCCGCCGCTCCAAGTCGTCGTTGCTGCTGCCGCCGCTGGCTGAGCTGCCCCCCGAGCCGCTGTCCGCGCCTTCTGGCTTTTTGGGGTCCGCCGCCACCAGGCAGCAGCTCCGCAGCGGGTCCTCGAGTGCCGCGGCCCAGTCGGACGGGCTACCCGCACCGTCCGCGCCCTCGTCGCCAGGCCCCTCCAGGCAGAGGAGGCGGTGGCGCGGATCCCGGCCGCCGGCTCGGGCCAGAGCGAGAGCTTCCTCCGAATCGTGACAGTCCTGGCCGGGCAGAAAGCCCGAGTCCCCGTTGGTCATGCCTCTGTGCCGCGACGCGCAGGCATCCGCCGCCTCCGCGCTTTGGTGCTTGGAGGCAGCAGAGTCCGGCGGGCAGGCGTCTGAGGGCGGCGGGGCGCGAGTCTGGCAGGCGGGGAGCGGACAGAAGTACAGCCGTGGCTCCAGCTGCCCTCCGGCCGCCGCGAGGTAATGCCGAAGGAGCTGCTGAGGCGGCGTCTCCTCCTCCTCCTCCTCTTCCTCCTCCTCCTCCTCCTCCTGCGGATCCACAGCGCCGACGCCTCCGCCAAAGCCGCCCGTGGCCCGGATCATCTTCCCGTCCTGGCCTACGGGCTCGGGCACCGGCATAGGGAGTAACTTGGGATTCCTTCCCGAGCAGGCTCCCGCATCCTCCGGACCCACCATCTGGGGCCGGGTGAGCGCCGCCCGAGGCGGCGGCGGGACTCCCCGGCGCAGGCTCGGCCCGGGAACAGCCCTGGGTGCTGGGGCCGCGGCGGCCGCCGCCGCAACGTTCCCAGACCCACCCCTCCCACCCCGGGTTTCGGGCACTTGCGGGAGGGCGGGCACGCGCCTAGGCTCGCGCACGCGCAAACGCCGGACCGGTCAAGCCCGGACCCGGAGATTCCGCGAACCATAGAGATGGCAGCTAGAGAGACCAGCTCCATAACACTCCGGCGGCCAATCTGGGATTCGCCATCTGGATGGTGGAGGCTGGTTGGCCCGCTGCGAGCATGACAGTTCTTAAAGAAGCACGGGTATGGCTCGTTTCGCAAAAATTCACTCGACATACTAAATTTATTCGGAGCGGAATACCGGATGTTAAATGTAAGCTCTTTCAGCTCTAATTGGTCACCAGTGGACTTCACGCTTTTACATTCTTGTCCATCGCCTTTGCCACAATTGAGGGCATCATCGCCTGATGCCTACACCCTCTCTTCTCAATTTCATCTTCCACAACACTACCAGTTATCTTTCTTTTCTAGCACTACATTTCACCACATTGCACTTTTTAAAGATTTACATTCTCTCTCAAGGAACGGAGAGGAAGTGGACCAAGAGAGGGGCTATTGAAATAATTCCAGCACTTAGGGCTTAGGTTTGGAGACGCAGAATGAAGAGTCATCTGCAGAATGCAGCTAGGTGAGTCATGAGTGACCTCGCCTGAAAAGAAAATAAAGATGGAGGTGGGGCAGAGACTCAAAGGTGTCATTATTTCAGAATGGACAAAATTGTATTGTGAGGGCTAAAAGAAGCACTAGTTGTGGATAAAATACAGACCACTCACTCTAGAGGTATGTCAGCGAAGGACAGGAATACTAGAATGGAGTAGTAATGTGGGGAAGCCGCATTGTCAAGCCTTTAATTTTTTGTCATATATATGTATATACACAAAAGTGAATATATCTATATATGAATAATAATAAAAAGTGTAAATAAAATGGACACCCCATATACCTACCACCCAGTTTAAGAAACATGAAGTGTCTTTTATAATGACCATTTTGAAGGTCCTAAGGAATGACTAAGTGGCAAGGACATAGCAATACATTTACTGCCAAGATCTTTCAGAAGAAGAAATCACTTTCAGAACATAGTTGGAAAAGTAAATATTGGAAGAGAGAAAATATCTGCAAATCATATACCGGATAAGGGTCTAGTATCCAGAATATATAAAGAACTCATTCAACTCAACAACTAAAAAGACAGCACAATTTAAAAATGGGGAAAGGGCATGAACAGACATTTCTCCAAAGATATGATAATAGCTATTAATAAGCATATGAAATGACATTCAGCATCATTAGTAACTAGAGAAATGCAAATCTAAACTACAATGATATAGCACTCATATCTACTAGGATGGCTATAATTAAAAGAGTGGAAAAATAACAAGTGTTATAGAAAGTGGAACCCTCATTGTTGCTGGTAGAAATATAAAATGGTGCACCTATGTGGAAAATGGTAGTTCTTCATCAAGTTAAACATAAAATTAACATATGGCTCAGCAATCCACTCCTAGGTATATACCAGAAAGAACTGAAAACCTTTTGAACTGAATTGAAAAGAATTGAAATGGTCAAACAAAAACTAGCATATGAATATTCATAGTGCTATTCATAAAAACCAAAAGATGGAGACAACACAAATGTCCATCAACAGAGAAATGAATAAACAAAATGTATGGATGATTACTCAGCCATAAAAAACGAATGAAGTACTGATATATGCTACAATGCATGAATATCAAAAAAACACTACATTAAGTGGAAGAAGCCAGACACAAAATGTCACATATTGTATAAATACCATTTATATGAACTATATCCAGAATAGGTAAATCCATAGAGAAAGGAAGCTGACTGCTGATTGTCAATGGCTAGGGATGGTGGGGGAGGAAGGAATGGACTCCCTACTGGATATCAGTTTTTTGAGGTGGGTAATTAAAATGTTTTGGAATTAGATAAAGGTGGTGCATGACATTGTGAATGTACTAAATGCTACCGAATTTTACATTTTTAAGTGACTTTATGTGAATTTCACCACAATAAAAAAATATAGAAGATGTCTAGACATAAGTAAAGTTATATAATGGTAAAGATGAGGGTAGCTAAGAGTCTAATCTCAATTTTTTGTCTTTTCAATCTTTTTCCTCTCTCCCTAGTTTATCCTTGTAATTCCTGCTGTCAAACCTTTCCAAACTAGTTAACTTATTCCTTTCTAGCTATCACTCTATTTCTCCCTCTATGAACTTATACTATTTTAAACTCCAGTTTCTCTAGTTTATTTTGTTCTCTTTCCCCTTCCATGGTCAATAGCCTCAAAAGTTTTATAAACCATAATAGCCCATACAGCCCTACTGTTTTCAGTGCAGATTTACAAACAGAAACATGTTTACTTTTTGTAACTTTGTCTGCAATAATTTATTTTCCATAGTAAATTATGTTAATGGTTCTTGTTAGTGGTTGTATTTCCCACTTTCAACAAGAAAGGTTTCTATCTTATCTGGTAAGTAATATCATATCCTATTTTACAAAGAAAACAATCTACTTTCAAGGTGTAGCATATGGTCCTTAAGAGTTTGACATTAAAAACTTCTGATACCATATTGCATTACTACAACCCTAAGTGTTTAATATATCCTGGTACATGCCTATAAATCAGATGAAACTATAATGAAGAGAAAAGACATTCTCCATCTCTGCTTTAAAATATTAACTTAGAATATGGAAAACTATTCATGAACTTGGATTCTTACATTTGCTAAGAAAATTAGACTTTCATAGATATTATCAAAATATGTAATTGGTCATATAATTGGTCATATTTACATGTATGATTCAATCCTCATTATTGAATGGTGAAATATGGTGCCATGATCCCATTTTATTATTTCATGACAACTGTACTCTAGGAGAGTACAAAGGGTTAGATAAAAGGCCTCTTCATATCCTTCTTTAGCCCTCAACTTTTTTCTTGTACTAGATTCCCACATAGCCTTCAAACTTGCTATTTTAATCACCACCATCATCACCTACATACCCTTAGAGCTGTGCTTCTTAAATTTAACTGTACTTCAGTGACATTTAGGAAGCTTTAAAAATGCTGATATCTGGGCCCCACCCAAGACAAATTAAATCAGTATCTCTGGAGGAGAAGCCCTTACACAAATATTAAAAGCTACTCAGGTAATTCTAATTAATAGCCAAGGTTGAGAAATACTGCCTTACAGCTACCTCCTACTCTCTGCTTACCTGAACAAGCAAGCTTCCTTAAAAAGATGTTTACACATTGTGCATCTCCAGATGCTACCCACCTCTGGACACAGTGGATAGTTGAGAAATATATAACCTCCATCTACTCACACAAAATCTCTGACCTCTCTCCAATTTCTTAGACTAGTTATTTGCTTTCATAGAAAGCACCCTTTTTCTTTGTAGTCTGTATCACAGTGTAATTTTACAGCTTTTGGGGCCGTCATTTGTAAATACACACACAATGCACTGTCAGCTCTATGAGGAAAGGGAGTATGTCTGTTCACCTTTGTAGTAATCATATCTGCCAAGTTCATAGTAGCTGTTCAATAAACAGTTATTAAAGGAATACATGAATAAACATGTGAAAATATATGTCTAGGCCCCAGGAAATTCTCAACTCAAAAGATTAAGTGTATTTATAATCCTCAGGACTGATTCAGAAACTGCCTGAAGCTGATTCCTGTTCATATTCTTGAACACATGTAATTTCAATGTCCATGGATAAATGTTTAACCCAAAGATAATTTGTTTTACATAAGTATGCATTAGTGAAACCTAAAATAAATCCAGTGGTTATAGGCTTTCCCCACTATATACTGATCTGAAAACTAGAAGTCTTTAATGACGAACTGATTAGACAAAAATGTGGTCAGTATGTCCATCTGAAAATTGGTCAACAAAACATGGAATAAATTTGATATCAAAATCCAAAAGAAAGTTTTATAAAGCAATGAGAATGAACAGTCTTCTGTGGGACTGTCTACTGGTATTGTTACTAAAATCACTTTCAACATCCATAAATGACTTAAATTCCATGCTTGCCTGCTAAAGTCTCATCTGGTAAAAAAGGGTGACTAGGTCTAAAATCATGGATTATAGTAGATAACAAATATAGAAAGGATGTATATTACAGATTACCTCAGCAAGTTGAGATATGTGTGGGAAGTAAATTGTAATAAGATCACAAGGCAGCTTGCTGTTTGGTAAGCCACAGGGGGATAGCCAAAAACCAAGAGACAGATGAAATGTTTTAGAAATGGACATTGATCCTTTGGGGAAACAAACTGATATCACATATCAAGAGGCACTACATGTAATTCTATTCCTGGAGTCTGTCATTGGAAATTATTCCAAAGAATAAAATAAAAGCTGTATAAAGATGCTTAGAGCAAAATGTTTAATAGTTAAAAATTACAAGTTACCAGAAAAAAAAATTACAAATTACCTAAATTGTCAGTAAAAGAAGTAGTGTAAGAAAAGCCAGGTATTATCAGTGAAATATTATGAAAATAATTAAAATGATAAAAATGCAGAAATATGGGAAATTTTTACAAAAAATATTAAATAAGAGGTATAGATACACAATTGCATATCATAATTACAATGATGTATAAAACTGCACTTCTAGCTTGATAAAAGTCACAAAGGACAGTCATGAAAAGAAAATGATGGAGGTTTTGGAGATTTTTATACTTTTCCTTTTTATTATATTCTAAAAATTAATTAAATGTTAACTCTTTAAAAGAATGCTTTGAAATTTATTTCCAAATATATGTCATAGCTATGAATTGTGAAGTCACAAAATTTTTTTATGCTGTAAGAAGGCATTCAGCTACATTTCGAGAAGAAAGAATCTATAAGGCTACATTTAAAAACTATATACAAATTTGCAAAAATAATGACAGGTTCTGCAAATTGTTGCTACTGCTACAATTGAAAGGGTATCTCACCGCGACCCTCCTTACCCAGAACGACTCAGGAGACATGGGCCCACGCAAGAGACT